CACACACTGACTACTGAACACACACACACACACACACACACGTGACCAACAACACACACTACACGCACGTGCAAACACACACACACACACACACACGCACTTAAACGATCATTTACAAACAACTGGGTCAAATAACAACCAGGACTGAAACCAGATCTAAACCAGGTCTAAACTCTTGCTTTTTGCCGTCATCCTGTTATAGAAGATGTAGAATTTTGATTTTAAATTCCATAAAGTTGAGCTGCAGTTTGTTTCAGATCAAGTCTGGACTCTCAATAAAAAAATAAAAAAAACAAAAAAAAAACAAAAACAGATTTTACTGAGACGAGTTTTGACCCTGATTCTTTCTGATCACAAAAACACTGGACACGATCTCACTTCTTTCTGCTCCAACAGAAAGAACCGACACCTCAGTCAAAATATCAAATATCGATATATCGTGTTGTTTAATGTGATGATACAGTATCGATATCGCGGGGCCAGGAGTATTTGTGGGTATAAAACGTTGGCGTCTGGATGAAGCGTGTGCAGACAGGTGCTCCTCACACCTCAGGGCCTGAAGTTCTGCTGAGGAAGAAAGACCAAGACTGAGAGATTTTTAATTTGTGTTGAATTTATGAACAATCGACGAGTTAAATTGGTCTAAACCAGGTCTAAACCAGGACTGAGGACTAAACCAGGTCTAAACCAGGACTAAACCAGGACTGAACAAGGACTAAACCAGGTCTAAACCAGGTCTAAACCAGGACTAAACAGGACTAAACCAGGTCTAAACCAGGTTCTAAACCAGGACTAAACCAGGACTAAACCAGGTCTAAACCAGGACTAAACCAGGACTAAACCAGGTCTAAACCAGGTCTAAACCAGGAGTGAACAGGACTAAACCAGGACTAAACAAGGTCTAAACAGGACTGAACAGGACTAAACCACTAAACCAGGACTAAACCAGACTAAACCAGGACTAAACCAGGACTAAACCAGGTCTAAACCAGGTCTAAACCAGGAGGTCTAAACCAGGACTAAACCAGGACTAAACCAGGTCTAAACCAGGTCTAAACCAGGTCTAAACCAGGACTAAACCAGGACTAAAACCAGGTCTAAACCAGGTCTAACCAGGTCTAAACCAGGACTAAACCAGGAGGTCTAAACCAGGACTCTAAACCAGGTCTAAACCAGGACTAAACCAGGACTAAACCAGGTCTAAACCAGGTCTAAACCAGGACTAAACCAGGACTAAACCAGGTCTAAACCAGGTCTAGGTCTAAACCAGGTCTAAACCAGGACTAAACCAGGACTAAACCAGGTTCTAAACCAGGTCTAAACCAGGTCTAAACCAGGTCTAAAACCAGGATAAACCAGGTCTAAACCAGGTTCTAAACCAGGTCTAAAACCAGGTCTAAACCAGGACTAAACCAGGACTAAACCAAAACCAGGTCTAAAACCAGGTCTAAACCAGGTCTAAACCAGGTCTAAACCAGGAGGTCTAAACCAGGTCTAAACAGGTCTAAACCAGGACTAAACCAGGTCTAAACCAGGTCTAAACCAGGACTAAACCAGGTAAAACTAAACCTAAACCAGGTCTAAACCAGGTCTAAACCAGGACTAAACCAGGTCTAAACCAGGTCTAAACCAGGACTAAACCACTAAACCAGGTCTAAACCAGCAGGACTAAACCAGGTCTAAACCAGGTCTAAACCAGGAGGTCTAAACCAGGTCTAAACCAGGTCTAAACCAGGTCTAAAACCAGGACTAAACCAGGTCTAAACCAAAACCAGGACTCTAAACCAGGACTAAACCAGGACTAAACCAGGTAAACCAGGACTAAACCAGGTCTAAACCAGGACTAAACCAGGTCTAAACCAGGTCTAAACCAGGTCTAAACCAGGACTAAACCAGGACTAAACCAGGACTAACCAAACCAGGTAGGAACTAAACCAGGTCTAAACCAGGGACTAAACCAGGTCTAAACCAGGTCTAAACCAGGACTAAACCAGGTCTAAACCACTAAACTAAACCAGGACTAAACCAGGACTAAACCAGGTAAACCAGGTCTAAACCAGGACTAAAACCAGGACTGGGTCTAAACCAGGACTAAACCAGGACTAAACCAGGTCTAAACCAGGACTAAACAGACTAAACCAGGTCTAAACCAGGACTAAACCAGGTCTAAACCAGGTCTAAACCAGGACTAAACCAGGACTCTAAACCAGGACTAAACAGGACTAAACCAGGTCTAAACCAGGTCTAAACCAGGTCTAAACCAGGACTAAACCAGGACTAAACCAGGATCTAAACCAGGTCTAAACCAGGACTAAACCAGGACTAAACCAGGTCTAAACCAGGTCTAACCAGGACTAAACCAGGTCTAAACCAGGTCTAAACCAGGACTACTAAACCAGGTCTAAACCAGGTCTAAACCAGGTCTAAACCAGGACTAAACCAGGACTAAACCAGGACTAAACCAGGACTGAAACCAGATCTAAACCAGATCTAAACCAGG